CAGGAGTTTGAGGTTCCTGTGAGCTAGGCTGACGCCATGGCACTCTAGCCTGGGCAACAGAGTGAGACTCTGTCTCAAAAAAAAAAAAAAAAGAATTATGCTAAAGCATAAATGTAACAAATATTTCAGGAAGGGAAAACTAAGGACATAAATAAAATGTACATAGCATTAATTCATAAGTATCTTCAAAGCACGTAACACTACTTGAAATTATCTTTTTTGTTTGCTATCTGTTGATGAATGACTGTATCTTCCCTGCAGAAAACAAAACCTATAATAGTAGAAACTTCATCTGCCTTGTTCACCGGTGAGTATCACTGAAAATTGTAACTCGTATATAATATATTCCTATAAACATTAATATTCGTTGAATGACTGAAATAAAAGACTAACAGTAAAATGTAAATTGAAAAGTGAAAGAATTCTACTAAGATAAATGAAAATTTTGTTAATTCCTAAGTATATGTTACAATTTAAGTTTCTGTTTATTGGGTCTTCACTTTCTTAGGAATTGGACTTATTTTCTTCCATTAAGATCAGAACTAAAGGAATATTTAGACTTTTTTTCTTATGTTATTTCCAAAATGATGGCACAAAATTTCTCCAAACACTTTGTGTATTATTTATTTATGGTTAATACATATGGCTTATATATAGTTGATATAGATGGTTGATAATTTTGATGATGATGATGATAGCAGCTAACATACACACAGCATTCTGTGCCATACATACTTCCTAATACTCTAACCCATTTAATTCCTTGTATGAAACATGAGTATAAATAGATTCAAGGGTGAGTTTGAATTGGTATGTCCTAAAATATAAGTAGTCAGTCTTTGTTAAAAAGGCAAAACTATAAAATCTCTAGCACTAATATGTGGAAATGTTTGTATTAACTTTTTGATCTCTAAAAGTATACAACTTATATAGATCACATATCTTTTAAGTGGTTTCTACTCTGCCAATTATTATAAAAGTTTATAATTATAAATTTATTTTTTGCAATACTCCCACCAAAGTAAGGCATTCCTGGTCATTTAAAACTGCATACCAGCCGGGCGCAGTGGCTCACGCCTGTAATCCTAGCACTCTGGGAGGCCGAGGCAGGCGGATTGTTTGAGCTCAGGAGTTCGAAACCAGCCTGAGGAAGAGTGAGACCCCGTCTCTACTAAAAATAGAAAGAAATTAATCGGACAACTAAAAATACATAGAAAAAATTAGCCAGGCATAGTGGTGCATGCCTGTAGTCCCAGCTACTCGGGAGGCTGAGGCAGAAGGATCACTTGAGCTCAGGATTTTGAGGTTGCTGTGAGCTAGGCTGACACCACGGCACTTCAGCCCGGGCAACACAGTGAGACTCTGTCTCAAAAAAAACCACAAAAAACAAAAAAAAAAACACTGCATACCAAAAAATCTATGTGCAAATCTGAATATAGTCCTATTTTTTACAAGTAATAATGTAGACAAAACTGTCCCTTAAGATGCTAGAAGCAAATACCAGAACTTGCATTTATATTTATTTATCAACTTTTTTTTTAATTTCTATTTTTGTTTTATATTATATCTGTTATGTAAGTATATCAGGTGTCATAGCTTATATCAGTATACATGTACATTTTGGGGGTGTTTAACAGCAGTGCTGCGCAATCGAAAGGCTGAGATCACTATTTTACATAACAGGCTTTTAAAAAGCAGGCTTTAAAGCCAAATTTTCAGCCAGATGTAATGGCTCACAACTGTAATCCTGGCGCTTTGGGAGGCCTGGGCAGGCACATAACTTGAGGTCAGGAGTTCGAGACCAGCTTGGGCAACATAGTGAAACCCCATCTCTACAAGAAATAAAATATTAGCTGGGCATGGTGGCACATGCCTGTAGTCCCAGATACTCAGGAGCTGAGGTTACAGTTAGCTATGATTGCATCACTGCAATCCAGCCTGGGCAACAGAGTGAGACCACATCTCTAAAAGCAAAACACCGAATTCTTCACATCGATGTTTTTTTTCCACAATAGCTCAGGTCAGTTTCATGAGCATATGCATGTATTCACAGGAGAACGATAGGTACCAGAGGGAGATCAAACAGTCAAGTGAAAATCTAAAATACAATTATAGAATTAAAATAGAGTTTTATGAATGTTTTATGATCATTCCAAATGAAAAGGTAATTTCTAGTTTAGTTGTTGGGTACCACTAAGTCTTTTTATCTGGTCTAAGCAGGTACAAATTTAAGGGTAAACAGGGGAGCACACAGACAATACTCTTACTTTCTTCCTGCAATTTGATTATTTTTTGGTTTAGTTTGGAAAGTTCTAAATTTCAGTGGTCTTGAATACTAAGTACTTTCTAGAAATATGCTTGAAATTTTTTAAAAAGAAAACAACAGCCTGTCCTTTAGTCTATTTTGCTTACTTGGATTTGTTACTTGATTCAGGCTTTAAATCTACAGGCTTTAAATGATGCCAATAAATATAGTTGAAAGCATTTGATTGTAATTAAACACATAATAAAAATTATTTAACATTTGTTTTATGTTTTGTAACTTGTAGAGGACCTTTACATGATCTCTTGGTAATTACGAGGTTGGGCTTATGTTTAAAAATTGGGGAAAAATACAAGAGAAAGAGTAGTAAAATAATTTTGATTTAAAAAAATAGAAAATGCCAAGAGTTGGAAAAAATAGAAACATGCAGAAGAAAAGAATTAACCAGCCACAATAAAAAACACACAAAAATCCCTGGTGCACAGTTATAATTAAATGGTAAGTATGGTTATTACTTTTATGAGTGAGTATCTATGAAATTTACTAAGCAGTAACATAAAATCTTAGACAACATCACAGGCTTTTAAAAAGGAATCATCTTCCCTTACCTTGTACTCTGTGAGTATTACTGACTTACACATTTTAACCCTGTACATAATTTCTTACCTGCAGCTAGAGAAACACAACACTGCTCCTTTTCTTTTGTGATCTCATTTAGCCTATATGGTACATCCATAAGTGAAGGTGAAAGAAGTGGCAGAGAAGGGACTTTTCCTACTGCACACATTTGAACTGAACCCAGTGAAAGGTGTTTCACAAAGGTTGAACCATTCTGAACAAAGCTGTAACAAAAGTGATGGAGTTTAAAATATTACTTGTAGAAATACAAAACTTTTTAGCAGTTTTATTTTACTTGGTTTCTTTTCCTCAAATGATTTTTCTACACAAATGTGTAACAATGGTAATATTAGTTGAAAAAAAGCTTTCAATTTGGTTAGATTTCAAAAGTACTTTCATTTCACCCATGACTTTAGCGGTCTTTAAGTCCATGGATTGTTGTAAAACAAATGGCAGAGTGAAGTTTTGTTCTTTCTGAAATTATACCCTAATCAATTTGGTGGCTCTCATTGGTATACTTCAACTGGTGGTTTTGCTTTAGGGAAATGCATCATTAAAGGCAAATTTCATTCATAATAATAGCAGAATATTTTTTTCTCTTAATTGGTGAAAAATTAGATGAAGAATTATACATATTCTAAAAATTGTAACAACTTAAAAAGTTAGTGAATAAATAGAAATAAGATAAAACAATTTAATTTTCCTGTCAACATGTTTTATTAGCTTTAAGAACAGACTTTAATGTCTAAATTTATTTTTGTATGCTACAGACTCAAGATGCTAATAACCTGACAATATACTTAAAAACTTTTTTAGCTCTATGAATCTATGGCAATTCCTCATGTTTTAATCTTTTAAGAGCAGTATAAAGTGACTCTGTTTCTACATGAACATGACTATATATTCAAGCTTTGCTGGACATACCTTGACATCTGCTTCCATGCTATATCCAGAAGAGTGGTATATGCACCAATTAGTATAGCATCAAAGTAACATGGGATAAGATAACGTGGGATCTGCTTCAGGTAGAAGAACATAGCCTGCAACCATTTACCAACCTGTTACAAAAATAATTTTAAAAGTTAATTTGGTATGTGTACAGGCTAGGTGTGTTTTAAGGGTAAATCTAAACACGCAACTTTACTACCTAGTAATCTTACCAAACAATTTCCATTTATTAGAACTGAAAGACGATGAAGAAAGGAAGAAAATGGTTCAGATTAGAAAACAATGTAAATATTATATATAACATGGTAATATAATTCCTGTTATGCCCTTGAATTTTTTTGGACTAAAATATTGCTCCACTTACTTCAGCAATAGTTCCTGATCGGGAAATAAGCCGGCTACTGACATAGTCAATCATCCAATCTCCAGATCTCAAATTATCACAAAAAGGATGCCCCAAGTCATTCTTTGGTCTTATTTCTGCCAATACGGACATTAATCCTGAAAATTCAGAGACAAGTCATGCTGTATTATTGGCAGAGTCAATTTGTTCCCAAAGCTTCTAGTCTCTACTCTTCTAACCTCTATTCCAATGATTTTGGGTGAACACATTGAGGCAGACACAAGAACTGCATAGCCCATGGTGGCACTTAACATGGTTGGAGATAACTGTGACAGTACTGGCTTGACCCAGGATACAAAGCCATACTGAAGGGGACTACTGTCACAAGAGCTATGCAGAGCTTTCCAAGATTCATAACTTTTGGGACTGGGCTTATTCTTTTGGATTTTAATGTTATATAATATTCAAAGGTAACTGGCATGGTTTCCCTGCTCTAAGGTATCTAGGTAAAGAAAATTGATAAGTCTGTGTCTTTTCAAGTTGAAAAGTGGTAGATTCACTAATACTCAGGAAAGATTTAAGGAAATCATAGAATTGGGTTTCGGAGAGGGCAAGAACATCTATGGTGATAATAAGAATAAAATCTGCTTTGGAAGGAATCTTTGAAATATAACAGGAGGTAACTGGAAGTAAACAAAGTATCAAAATGAGGTATATAGGTGTATCTTCAATCCTTACGGTCCTCAATTAGAAGCATAAGAATTCCTATGAATACCTAGATTTTATTATTTCAATGACATACCAATAGTACTTCTTTCATCATTCAATAAAATAATAATTTCTACCTTTAAAAAATAATATGGCTTCACCGACTTTATTTTGACTAAATTTATTTAGAATTTAATGAATTTTACTATTTATGTAGCATCTTTTGAGAAATTAAAAAAACATACATTTAAGATTAAGTTCTTTCCTCAAGGGGCTTACAATCTTCTTTGGGAAACAAAGCTTAAAACATAACAAAGCTGGAAAACAGTATAAAATAATGTTCCACATAAATGTTAGCATTTTCATGGAAGGCAAATAATGCTTAGTAAATGTTAGTTTCACTGCTGAATAATGGAACATCATGATGAAAACAATGTTTTAGAAAACAGATCTGATGATGACCAATAGAATGGAATAATTTGTGGAAGAGGTAACAAGGGTTGGAAAGCCGGTTAGTTTATTTATTTATTTTTTTTCTGAGACAGAGTCTCACTGTGTTGCCTGGGCTAGAGTGCC